AATTGTGCATCTGAAAACTGTAGGTCCTGGGGATATTTATATTTTTTTAAAAGGGGGGTACTGTATAAAAAAATGTTGAAAAACACTGTTGTAGACATAGCCTTTCTGTGCCCAGGGAGCCAGATGCAGCTGGGGGTGGAAGGCTGGAAGGGAATGGGGGAATGGCTGCACTTCAGGAGTCAAAGGTGTTGTCTGGAACCATAAAATAGAACAGTTTCATAAGCACTTCAGTGGAGGGCACCATGGCTTAGCTTGCTTAAAGCCCCTGCCTTATAAACAGAAGATCCTGGGTTCAACTCCTAGTGGTGCCTTGTTGTAGCCATTCCTCACATTGTTCTATATCCTTCTAGGACACAGGAGGAGGCCTCCCCTGGCCACTCATGGAACTGCTTGTTCAGGAAAAGGATGCTTGGAGGAGAGCATTGGAAAGAAGGAAACTACAAGCCTGGAGCAGGTACAGAGGCTTCTCTTACTGGCACTGGCAAGTCAGGGCTCTGAGTGCAATTGCTGGGATTGGAAAGCCAGTGCCACACGCAGCTGGGAGAAAAATCCCCAGAGAGGAGCCCCATGGCTCCAGATATGTACTGAAGAATGGTGGGAAGAGCAGACACATTGGCCAGGTATCACTGGGGGCTGCATCCCTCACCTCCACCGTATCTGGCAGGAGGCTTAGCCAGCTTAGCAATGGGGTCACTTTCTGGGACTTTCCTCCCAGATGCTCCACATGTTGCCATTGCCTGTCACAAGGGAAGGGAGAGAAAGTAACTCTCCATGGCTGCAGGAGCTGCACTCTCAGGATCTCTGGGTGCTGACATCCCCAGGGAATGACAAGGGTGCGTGGCACCGGCTCTCCTGTCCCAACAATTGCAGTCAGAGCCCCGCCTTACCAGTGCCAGGGGAGGCCTCTTTTGTGTCCCTGAAGGACATAGGAAAATGTGAGCCAAAACTACAACAAAGCTCGACTGAAGGTAAAGCTAACTCCAGCTACATATGGAGAAATGGTGGGGAGAACATTTGCCAGGCACCACTGGGGGCTGTATCTCCCATACTCTCCCACATCCTGACCCCTTACCCATAGCCCCCACCCATCAACACGCTTCCCCAACCCTCTGCACTGAGCCTCCAGCACTCTGCTCCATACTTTAACTTCTTACAGGTACTGTAAGAACCCCCTTCTGCCTTGAGTGTTTTTCCCACCCAAGGAGGGTGTCTTGCAGATCCAACAGTCTTACTTTCACCCATAGGAGCAGCTCCAGCATGCAGGGGGATTGGCATGAGCAGGACATTAGGGATTGGTAATGACATCATAACAGCCTTTTGCAGCAGCTCAGCTTATTGGCTAAAGAAGGTTGGAGGGGTGATGACCTCACAGAGAGTCCATGACAACAGCCAGGTGGGACAGACTGCAGGGAAAGAACAATCTCAGAGACCCCTGTGGTTTTGCTGCAGAGATTTCTAGCAGGCAGTGGCAGTCTTTTGACAGCATGACAATGCACCAGGTATTCCTTGGGTGAAGAACAGGTAATGTATATGCTGCGCTGTTGTAAAAGTCCCTATTTGCTATGTATACACAGGGAAGCTAGGGAACAAAGACAATATAAGTCATACAACTTCCTGCAATATTTTACAACTTTCATTTTAAGCTTCACTGAATCCTCCACAATAAAAATATAATGTACATAAGAATAAGAACAGGCATACTGGGTCAGACCAAAGGTCCATCCAGCCTAATATCCTGTCTGCTGACAGTGGCCAGTGCCAGCTGCCCCAGAGAGAGAGAACCGAACAGGTTATGATCAAGCGATCTCTCTCCTGCCATCCATCTCCAGCGTCTGACAACAGAGACTAGGGACACCATTTCTTACCCTACTGGCTAATAGGCATTAATGGACTTAACCTCCATTAATCTATCCAGCTCCCATTTAAACCTTGTTATAGTCCTAGCCTTCACAGCCTCCTCAGGCAAGGAGTTCCACAGGTTGACTCTGCACTGTGGGAAGAAAAACTTCCTTTTGTTTGTTTTAAACCTGCCACCCATTAATTTCATTCGGTGCCTCCTAGTTCTTATATTATGAGAACAAGTAAATAACTTTTCCTTATTCACTTTCTCCACACCACTTGTAATCTTATATACCTCTACCATATCCTCCCTTAGTCTCTTCTTTTCTAAGTTGAAAAGTCCTAGTCTCTTTAATCGCTCTTCATATAGGACCTGTTCCAAACCGCTAATTATTTTTGTTGCCCTTTTCTGAACCTTTTCTAATGCCAGTATATCTTTTTTGAGATAAAGAGACCACATCTGTACACAATATTCAAGTTGTGGGCGTATCATGGTTTTATAAAAGGCAATAATATATTCTCTGTCTTATTCTCTATCCCTTTTTTAATGATTCCTAATATCCTGTTTGTTTTTTTGACTGCCACTGCATGGATGTTTTCAGAGAACTATTCACAATGACCCCAAGATCTCTTTTTTGAGTAGTTGTAGCTAAATTAGCCCACAGCATATTGTATGAATAGTTGGGGTTATTTTTTCCAATGTGCATTACTTTACATTTATCCACATTAAATTTCATTTGCCATTTTGTTGTCCAATTGCTTAGGCTGCATCTAGACTGGCAAGCAGCTGCTTTTGCGGAAAAACTTGCCAGCTGTCTACACTGGCCACTTGTATTTCCGCAAGAACACTGACGATCTCATGTAAGATTGTCAGTGTTCTTGTGGAAATACTATGCTGCTCCCGTTCGGGCAAAAGCCCTCTTGCGCAAATCCTTTTGCACAAGAGGGCCAGTGTAGACAATGGCGAAAATGGCAATCAGGGCTTTCCTGTGCAAAACCAAGTCTAGATTGGCACGGACGCTTTTCCACAAAAAGTGCTTTTGCGGAAAAGCATCCGTGCCAATCTAGACGCTCTTTTCCGCAAATGCTTTTAATGGAAAAACTTTTCCATTAAAAGCATTCGCGGAAAATCACGCCAGTCTAGATGTAGCCTTAGTTTGGTGAGATCTTTTTGAAGTTCTTCACAGTCTGATTTGGTCTTAACTATCTTGAACAGTTTAGTATAGTCTACAAACTTTGCCACCTCGCTGTCTACCCCTTTCTCCAGATCATTTATGAATAAATTGAATAGGATTGGTCCTAGGACTGAACCTGGGGGAACACCACTAGTTACCCCTCTCCAGTCTGAAAATTTACCATTTATTCCTACTCTTTGTTTCCTGTCTTTTAACCAGTTCTCAATCCATGAAAGGAACTTCCCTCTTATGCCATGACAACTTAATTGACGTAAGAGCCTTTGGTGAGGGACCTTGTCAAAGGCTTTCTGGAAATTTAAGTACACTGTATCTACTGGATCCCCCTTGTCCACAACTTTGTTGACCCCTTCAAAGAAATCCAAGGCTATGTCTATACCTCAAGGTTTTTGAGCAAAAACCAGGGGAGCGTCCCACACCTCAAATGCATTTTTACACAAACAAACAAACAAACAAACAAACAAACAAACAAACAAACAAACAGTAAATCGACAGGACAGAGAGCTTTTGCCAGTAGAGTTATTACTCTCCCTAAGAGGAATAACTCCTTTTTGCGCTACAGTTCTTGCGCAACAAGGCATGTGTGGATGCTCTGAAGGGTTTTTTGCACAAGAACTGGCCTCCTAGGAAAAACACAGGTGGCCTCTTGGACACTCCGTAGCAGGCAATCACCACTCTATTGCTCCTGTCTTCTGGCCCTTCTTAAAGCTGCAGGCACCCTGCACAGCCATTGTGGCACGAAGTTTGCTCAGAGCAGATGCTTTCACTGAGCAGCTCTGAGCAACTCCAGAAGTCACAGCAGGACGGTGCCTGAGACACCCCTTTCCTCCGACCCTTCCAAGAAGCACCCACCCCCCCAGGGCACAATGATACTCACAGCACATGCTGAGGGTGGCAACTTAAGTGTGGTTGCATGCAAATATATATAAATAGCTTCTTTCACACTGATGGGCACGAATACAATGATTAAGGCAAGATTACACAACACACATGCTCCATTTAAGTTAGTTCTACTTATAATAATAAAATGCAGCATTTACCTGATTTCCACTCATATGACAGGACTTTTAATGAGCAATGACAGCCCAGGAATTTAATTTCTAAAATGCACATCAACAGATCATTATATTGACTACATTTTTGTTTTAGCTCCCACCCACATGCTGTAAAAAAAAAAAAAAAGGTCTGTGGGCTGTATATGGCCCCTGGGTCATGTGTTGAGTAGCCCTGGTGTAAGGTGTGAACCAGCAGAAGCAGACATGTGTCAGCAGCTTGTGTGTCTTCTTACTGGCCAGTGCAGCAAATACAACTGCTCTTTGTGACTACTTCAGTGCACTTTATTGTGGAGGACTCCCTGGCTTTAAACAATTCACACGGATTTGACCCTCTCAGCCCCCATAAACCATCTTATATTACAACAAGGTCTCTCATATCTTTGGGTTGTTCAATGTGACACATGTAGAGGAATAAGAGAGGCCAGAGAAATGCATCAACAAATAATAAAGTTCTAGGAGACATGACCAAAAAGGAAAGACTGAAAGAACTGGATTTGTTTAGTTTGGAAAAGAGAAGACTGAGAGGGGACACGATAGCAGTTTTCAAGTACCTGAAAGGCTGTTACAAGGAGGGAAAAATTGTTCTCCTAGATCTCTTATAATAGGAAAAGCAATGGGCTTAAATTGCAACCACGAGGGTTTAGGATGGACATTAGAAAAAACTTTTTCAGGGTGGTTAAATACTGGAATAAATTGCATAGGGAGGTTGTGCAATCTCCATCATTGGAAATAACTAAGAGCAAGTTAGATAGACATTATCAGAGATAACAGATGATGTTTGGACCTCCTGTGAGGGCAGGGGACTGGAGTTGATGACCTCTTGAGGTCTCTTCCAGTTCTAGTGTTCTTTGATTTTATGAGTCTTCTCTGTGGAGAATCATATATCATAATTGTTAAAATCTGAGTGCAAAATCAAGGTTTTCCCACAGTCAAAGGGTTTTTCCCATGTGAATTCTCCAATGTTTAATAAGGCTTCACCTCTCCCTGAAGCTTTTCCCACACTCAGAGCAATCAAAGGGTTTTACCCCTGAATGGATTCTCCTATGTGTAACAAGAATTGAACGCCTACTGAAGCTCTTCCCACAGTCAGAGCAGTTGAAAGGTCTCTCTCCTGTGTGAATTCTCACATGATTAATAAGATCTGAATGCCCACTGAAGCTTTTCCTGCAGTCAGAGCAGCTGAAGGGTTTTTCTCCTGTGTGCATTCTCCTATGTATATTAAGATGTGATTTCCAACTGAAGCTTTTCCCACAGTCAGAGCAGATGAAAGGTTTCTCCCGTGTGTAGATTCTCCTGTGTTTAACAAGGTCTGATCCCTCACTGAAGTTTTTCCCACTGTCAGAAGTGAAACATGGCTCTGCTGTGTGGGTTCTCTGATGTCTAGAAAGATGTGAGCGTCTACTAAAGTTTTTCCCACAGTCAGAGCAATAAAAGGGTTTCTCTCTTGTGTGGACTCTCTTATGTGTAACAAGATCTGAGCGCCTACTGAATCTCTTCCCACAGTCAGAACAATTGAAAGGTTTCTCTCCTGTGTGGATTCTTGCATGATTAATAAGACGTGATTTCCAACTGAAGCTTTTCCTGCAGTCAGAACAGATGAAAGGTTTCTCCCCTGTATGGACTCTCTTATGTATAACAAGATTTGAGCGCCTACTGAAGCTTCTCCCACAGTCAGAGCAGTTGAAAGGTTTCTCTCTGCTGTGGATTCTTTGATGTTCAATAAGAGTGGCACAGTCATTGGATGTGGAGGATGCTTGTTCATGGAGGATTTTTTGTTGAACAGTTTCTATGTTTCTTTTCACCCCTATGCTCCTGTGACTGAACTTATCCTGTCCCTTCTCTCGATGGTTTCCCTGCTGCCTATATGGGCTACACTGACTCTCACAGGTCTCTCCCTGCTCAGGTATCTGGGAGACATGCCCTTCAGATCTTCCCAATAACATCTCATGTGGAGCCATT